AAAATGGACATTTTCAAAGTTCAAAAAAGTTCGGGTCAATTCGTCAAATGAAAAACTGCAAAAACAGAAATGTCTGTTCATTATTCAATTTTAATAATCTGTAAAGATAAATTCGTTCCGGGCCCTGTGAGAAAAGTTATTCCACAAAACGTAAGGGCATGTTTTGTGAAAATGTATGGAGATTTTGATGTTTTTATCGAAAATCAGCATTTTTGAGCTTTAATTTCTCTCGGGTCAATTCGTGAGATGAAAAACTGCAAAAACAGAAAAATCTGTTCATATTTCAACTTCAATAAACTGGAAACAGAAATTCGTTCCGGGCCCTGTGAGAAAAGTTATTCCACAAAACGTAAGGGCATGTTTTGTGAAAATGTATGGAGATTTTACTTTTTTGTTTAAAATCATCTAGTTTTCTTTGACATTCAATATTAAAAATATTATTGTTATGCGTAAACATACGCACCAAAATGAAATTAAAAAATGAGTTTTTCGCTAAAATTTTAAAGGAAAATACTAAAGAGGTTGAAGATTATGTAGTTAAGCTATGTCTAGAACGTATAAGAACTAAAAATATAAAACTATTCAGAAACATTGAAAAAAATCAAGTCTCATTGAAATTAAAATTTCTCTTCAGAACATTCAAAATTTATAACAAGAAGGTTTCTTTTTAAATCTCATTTAGACAATAATTATCATTAATAAAAATGTTTAAAAGGTACCAAACTGGGGAAACTTTTGTAAAAGATTCAAGATATGGTTGAATAGTGATTTCAATTTCTACTTCAAAACTTTGAAGCCTAAAAAGAAATCACCTTTTGTGAATTTCGGTCGACCTAGCGTGCCATATGAAAGTCAATGTCTACGCTCAAAAAAATATCAAGTTGCAAGAATTGCTTCATCTGCAAAATATAATGTGGATGTGTTACTGAATGCTGCTGCATATTCAGCAAAGCGCTCTGGCAATAAGAAACTCTTTCTGGCAATCAAAACTGTTTCGAATATTTCCATGATGTCTAATGAAGAAGCCTTATCTCTTGTTGTAGATTGTAATCTGTCAAAAAATCAATACTGTACTGTCAAAACAAGAATGTCTAAGCATGGATCAAAGGCGTTACCTTTATATTCTAATATGGTAAAAGCAAAACAAGTATGTCGTCCGCCAAATATCGAAGTAACAAACCAAAAGGCGAGTGTATCCATAAAACATCTCTTGGATCATACAACTCAGCGAATATTTGCTTTACCAGAAATTAAAGAACTTGATTTAAAGGAGACGTCATCTGAGTTTGAGCTTATCAGCAAATGGGGTTTCGATGGATGTTCAGGTCAAAGTCAATACAACCAAGAACTGACAGCAAGCACATCAGACTCCAACCTGATTGCTGCCACTTTAACACCATTGCAGCTTCGACTTGATGGAAAAGTCATGTGGTACAACAAAACGCCGTCATCAATTCGATATTGCCGTCCAATTATTCTAGAATTTGCTAAAGAAACAAAGGAATATACCGTAGAACTGAAGAGAAGAATCCAAGACGAGATTGACGAACTTGAGCCTTCAGTTATCATTTTGCAGAACGGGAAAGCTGTATCCGTGAAACAGTCGATATACATGACACAAATAGATGGAAAAGTCCTTTCAAATGTTACAGGAACATCTTCATTTCAATGTTGTCCAATTTGCAAGGCTAAACCAACGGAGATGAATGATTTAAATAATATCTATAATCATGTTTTCGATCCTGATGAATCTGCGTTAGTCTATGGTTTATCGACACTTCATTGTTGGATAAGATTCTTTGAAATGTTGTTGAAGATATCTTACAAATTATCAATACAAAAATGGCAAGCACGCAAAGAAGAAAAAGAAGAAGTCAAAGCAAGAAAGCGATTAATTCAAAAGCGTTTTGAAGAAGTTTTGAACTTAATAGAAGATCAGCCTGCTCCTGGTGGTTCTGGAAACTCAAACACAGGAAATGTAGCAAGAAAAGCTTTCGCAAATACAGAATTGCTATCCGGAATCCTAGAAATCGATCAAAGTTTTATCGAAAGACTCAAGACCATCCTTATCGTAATCTCTAGCAACCATCATACAAATGTTGAAAACTTCAAACGATTTTGTCATGACACGGCTCATCAATTTGTATCTCTCTTTCCTTGGTATAGAATGCCACAATCGCTCCACAAAATTTTAATTCATGGCTCTGAAATCATTAAAAGAATGCCAGTTCCAATTGGAATGATGAGTGAAGAGGCATCGGAATCAAGAAATAAATTCTACAAATTAGAACGAATAAATCATGCAAGACGAAACTCGAGATTGAATAATTTGCATGATGTATTTTGTCGTGCTCTCGAGTCATCGGATCCGTGTTTGTCTCAATATGACATCAAGAGAAGAATTAAAAACATTGAACTAAATACAATACCAGAAGCTGCGAAGAATCTCATGATATTCGAAGAGAATATAACATTCATCGATAATATTGAAGACAATATTAATGATGACATTAA